TATTCATCAAATTCATTATGAGGCGTATCTTGAGCTGCCTGGGGTAAAATGAAAGTATCATATTACTCCCCTCCCTCCACCACAGAGGCGTAGCGTGGTGGGGGCAGGGGGACAGATGTCCCCGGGCACCAGCTAGTTAGGGGCGCCAAAATGTGCTTTGATATTATTTTGTTGACGAAAATAATGGGTTTGAGAGTTGAAAAAACGAAAAAGGGGCGCTAAAAATGGATCTTGTCCCCGGGCGCGAATCTTGTCCCCGGGCGCCAAACACCCTCGCTACGCCACTGCTACACCAACAGAGTTTTAAACAAAGCTTAATAAAAGTATCCCCGGGATTGTAACCCCCTTACGTAAAGAAATACATTTTTAAAAAAAATTTCATATGCTTTGTTCTTATTTTGATGAGTGATGAGTGTATTACTGTCTCTTAAGCGGCAGTGTGTCTTCCAGTTCATCATGCTCAGATCCAAGTTGTTTAATTTCATTGTTCGTAGTGTCGTAGATATTTCCAACGAGGAATCCACTGTCTGACCAAGCTTTTAAATATCCACAATGTTTTCGCATCTGGTCGCAATCTGGCCTTATAAATGCGTCCAAGTAGTCACTGGAATGTGCAGACTTTAAATGCGAGTGAAGGCCTAAAAATATATTTATTTCCGATAGTTTCATGTGCTTATCAAATTTAGGTTTATTTTTTTCAGGGTCCCCCATTTCTCTCTATCAACCTGAAGGGAAAATAAATCATTTAAAAAAAAATTATTAATTCAATCGAATTGGTTTGACGTGTAAAACTTTTTCAAAAATGTTTTATGTTTGAATAGGTAAGGTACAGACAAACCGTGACATTCAACCTGAGACAAAATAGCTCGAAAATCAATTATGAGGTGAATGTAAATTATTAATATTGTTATCACAAAATAGAAGTAACATATTTTTTCTGTGTCTTAAACTTAAGGTATTTGATTGTCAAAGTACGGATTTACTCATATTTTTAAATATGTAGTTTTTTTGGGGCATAATTAAAAGAAATCCAGCAATCAAACATTTTTGTCATTAAAATTTGACCCCGTGATTTGAGTGCAACGTGTTTTTATTTCCATACAAACTCTTAATGGGAATCAAAATTTGATCTTCATTCGACTATACCAATCACTTATTTGTCAATACCGGTATTTCAAAACATTTACTTACCAATCCTGTACCTTCTCTTTGAACTTGAGACACGTGTTGTGAGGGATTTGCACATCTCATAAATTATTGAAATGTCTTGCTTTAACTACGACGTGGAAACTAAGAAAAACGATTTTTAAAAAAAATTGAAAATGAAATCCCGGGATTATCGAAAATCACGGTTTTCATAAATCCAAACCCGGTTTTTTCGAGCATCAATTATGGTCCGGTATTTTCTAATTTCGGGATCCCGGATTGTGACCCCTAGTATATATATATATATATATATATATATAAGTATCTCATTTAGCGCAGTTATCGGAAATTTTATTTCATGGAATTAGTGTCATCATATTTCCTAAATCATCCCCTTGGAAAAACAGGAAACTATGATTGCTGGGGGTTGGGGTGAAAATTTGATAGAATTATGTGTTTTTGGCAATGAGTATATGTGCCAAGTTTCAGCTCGATTGGCTGACGGGAAGTGGGTCGATTAGCCGCCCAAAGATTCTACCATAGACACACACAAGCGAGGTTAATATCAAGGCCTTATAATATAAAGAATAAAACACAAACTAGTGCGATCATACAAAAATGTGATCGTGTGGACTGATCTGTCATCTGAACAATAGGACTACTGACAGTATTGCTGTCATCTCCATACTTTGCAAATGTAACTTAAAGAAGTAAAATAGAAAATTAAATTGGCCATAAAAAATAGAGTTATTTATGTTTGTGTTTAAACAAAATTAACTTTTATATTTTATTTATGCGTTTATATTATATATTAAAAATTCACTAGAGTAATGGTTGCCGACCTCCTGAAGCATACCGGCTCCGCATGCACGTCGCAGGATGTCACTGCTAATCCCTTCTCTACACCACAATCAGATACCATTAACTTATAACACATCGAGTAGGTTTACCGTCCCCGTAGAAAGTGATTATAAAAAAAAGGACTCATGGAGTGAAAAATGGTGGGAACCACCGCAAAAGAGCAACGGTAAACAGAATCCTCTACACTCTACATTGAAAGCATTTAATTTGATACTAGAATATTTTCAGTGAATATTCAACGGTGGCATATTATAACTCAAATTTTGTACCCGTTATCTAAGTGAAAAATCATTTTTTTTTTTTAAATGAAGTTGCAAACTTAAGCTGACGTGATGAATGGGAGTTGCTAGGTGACCAGAATTAGCTTTATCCCCCAAGACAATGGAAACAAAATTCTTGGGTTAACATTTTTAAATGAAGTTGCAAACTTAAGCTGACGTGATGAATGGGAGTTGCTAGGTGACCAGAATTAGCTTTATCCCCCAAGACAATGGAAACAAAATTCTTGGGTTAACCTCCCCCCCCCCCCCAAAAAAAAAAAAAAAAAAAAAAAAAAAAAAAAAAAAAAACAACAACAAAAAACCACCCCTAAAGTCACCACCACTCATAAATTACATTGCAAGATCCCAAGTACCAAATGAGTGGATTTGTTTTTGTCGTTGCAACAGGAACAAAAAATTTCAACAACAAATTTGAAAATTAAAAAAAAACTGTTGTCTTAGTGTACGTTAATTACATCCAGGCAGGGATGTCTTAACAACACAGGAGGCCCTGGGCACAGCAATACACTGGGGCCAATGTTCCCTCTAAGGTTTGCTGGTTCGTGTGCAAAATAATACAAATGTGTGAAAAGTTTTACATCATCATTTTTTTGTGTGCAAAATTTTACAGCCCACTAACACAAACATACATGGAAATTTGCTGCGCGGATACTCGAAACTGCTGCGCGGCCGCGCAGCCTAAAGGGAACATTGACTAGGGCCCCCTTGCAAAGCAGCACACCTGGGTCGTGGGGGAGGGGGCACTCGCCCCATGCTCAAAAGTAAAGGGGGTGGGGTGTGAAATAGTTCCTGCTCCCAACCAATGCACCAAGAGGAATAGAAATGTAAAATAAATATAAACATTCAATACAGTTAAACTTCGATGAATTCAATTTATTGATACAAAAAAACCAAATCATTCAAAATCAATAATAGTTGTGAAAAATTATAAGAAATAATCTATAAATAATAACAGAGGATGATACAATCTGATACATTATCATTATTGACCTATAGATATAATAAATTATTTACTATAAATCAACATAATCGTTTGCGTAATATAATAATAGTATAATATTCATTAACAATATGTAAAGCATGATGCCTCTATAAGAACGAGTCTCCTAAAAACATGGGGCCCCCTACAGGTGCGGGGCCCTGGGCCAGTGCCCACTAGGCCTATGCCTTAACACGGCACTGTATCCAGGTGTGTGTGTTTTTTTTTTCTGGCTTCCGCCTGTCACAATGTGACGATGGTGCAGACTTCGCAGGACGAAGCACAAGGCTTGGGATCTCTTCTTCTTCTTCTTTTTTTTTTTTTGGAGTATAAGCTCGGTCCCTAGACAGTAAATCACCTTCCTCCGCGCACCTGGAAAACCCAAGGGAACACCATATGTAGATGATACAGCTTGATTACAGTAGCGTCGCAGGAGTTGTCAGATTTTTTTTTCATTGCGTCAATGTTATCCGTCTAAGGGACTCCATATTCGGGTTTTAATTCTGAGTTTCACTGTATACACTTAACTCCTATGGTTCCCATGGTCCATGGTCCACATGATAACGTTAAAAGAAGTATGTCACCTGAAAGACGACTTCTTTCCTGCACTACACGTATTATATAAATATAAGGAAACATTTGAATTTTTTCAATTTAAAAATTTAATTCAAGCAATGTGGGGGAAGCACACAAAAAAAAAAAGATTACAAAAATTTAATCCAAAAGCGAAAATACAAAAAATGATTTTCTTTGACAAATATAAACATTACTTCTGTGGCTACTTCTATTATATTAATTTAATTCTCTGTTTTAATGATTAAAGTAAATTAATTTTACAAGATTGTTGCATTGTTTGCCGTTGGAGGTTGGTGGTGATAGAGGATGTGACGTCACGCATTTATAACGATGTGTGATGAAGGTGTCGACATTTTGTGACAAAGATTTTATGATGGGGAAAGGGGGTAAATAATCAACCAAGATAGCGTAACTTAAGTAACTTTATTAAAGGAAGGGCCCATAGGGGAAAGAGTGATGGTAGTAAAAAGATGTGACATTTTTCAACTCTCGTTCGGTGCGACATGTATTAGGCCAAACATGTAGAAACGGTCCCCATGTGGTGCTGATGTTAATTTCGTAGGACCAAAAACGCGTCATCGAACATTTTTAAATACAAAACTAATTATATCTATAGTGACTATAATCCTCAAAATAAACGCATATTTTGCATTTAATCATAAAAATAAATTGATGACTTGAGTGGGTTCTTTTGTGCGTACATAATAAATGTCAACCCTTCCACTCTCCCTTATTTTGTTGACTGGGGCGTAGCTAAGGGTGTTTGACGCCGGGGGACAAGATTAATTTTTACACCCCCTTCAACTCTGAAACCATTATTTTCATTAATAAAATACCATCAAAGCCCATATTGGCGCCCCAACTAATCTGGCGCCAGGGAAAATCCACCCCCTAGCTACGCCTCTACTTGTTGGTATAATTGTAATGTATGATAATGTATGTGTATTTTACTCTTTAATTGGATGCCCAGGGCTTGTGCAAACTCGGTCTCCAATTCTCCATGCTATTGTAGTTATCGGCATAAATGGAACTGGAACGAAGTACCCCATTTCCCCCCAAACACGTTAGAAAATTGAGATGTATGACGTATCTCGGTTTGCGCATGCGCATAGCTTTCAAATACTAAAAACGCGTCCATGTTTCCCGACCTTGATTGTGGAATTTCGTTTCAACGGAAAAAAATGAAATTTTATAATATATTTGATTAATATATGTGCCCAAATAATGCTGTACATTAAAACAACTTTGATAATTATTATTATGAATGTAAGTATTAACTTTACTCCCACGGGACCTTTTAGTACGTTACATAGGCTGAAACCATAAATTATTTCACTTGCAAGCTGTTTTCGTTTCCGCCATTTTTGCCCGTTGAGTTGTTCAATCAAATTTGAGCAAATGTAAGAATTTAACCGGGTCAAAAACCCGCATTTTTTGTTGTTATTGAAACGAAAAGTTATAATTTTCATTTTTACACACGATCAAGTTTAAATTTAAACTGGATTTAACAACACTATAATCATTGTTTAACCCATTCAATACGTCACAATTTTTTTAAGGGAACGCAGTAAAATTTTGGGACAAAAATTCTATTTGACCTGATGATTTTAAACTGAAAAGCTCTGTTTTGTTATTTATCAAAATTATATCATGCTGCATATCCAAATGTAGGTAATTGAAAAAGGAATATGTTTCTAGTATAAAAAAGTGATAAAGAAATACCCAAAGAAAATTTTTGGGGGTATTATTGCAGGTTTATGTAAAAAATTATTTAAAATTTATTTGGTTTTGCTTTACTCACCAGCTCAGAAATCAGATAACAATAATCCAATCAAGTTCATATTTTTTTTAAATGAGTCTTGTGATACATCCAAAACAACTGGAAAGTTTCATTGCAGTAGCTCCAGAAATTGTAAAGTTATGAATTTCTTTCCCAAGACACGTGTTAAAATTTTTTTTTCAAAAATTCAACAATAAAAATAGTTATACTCAAATATTTACACATATTTCACATATTTACTAAATATATACACAAATGAAGTTATTATTTTAAATGAAAGGCCTTGAAGCATCCTTTAGGATGGAGATGGGGTTTGGATTCACACCCAGTACAATAGAAATGTGTGCGTACTCGCTTTGTTGCAGTTGAGCAATATGCACAAGATCGGTCCCTTTCATGATAATCAACAATGTGCTGAGCATCATTAGACTTTTCGAGGCATCCGGTCTCTGGACCCTTTCCTGGTGCTTTTAGTACTTGAATTAATGCTACTTCCTCTGTTAGCTGACGCATCAACATAAGTTTATATTGTTTTAGACTCATTTTTACTTTGTTTGCATCTGCTGCTTGACAGAGTAAAAACAAAATGTACGAGTTCACCTGTGTAATTTCTAACAGCCAGAAAAAAATCTTTTTCCACCATTTCAATGTTTTTCGCTCATAAACACAGTAATATGTTACTTTTTGGTCTAGCTTATCGCAGCCATTCATCTTGTGATTATAAATGTCTATCATTTCCGGTTTATCCATTTTTTTTGTTTCGGTAACTTGTACCCTAGCATCTGTGGACACTAATATGACATTTTTTTTTGCCTTTTTGTCCCTGAAAGCAACACAGAGCATGCTCTTGTTTTGGTTTATATACCACTTCATCTCTTTTTGTTGTAAAGATAAAGATTTTATGTCTAGTGGAAATCCAATGCGGTTGATATTCAGTGTTCCTGTATAGTATTGGTTTTTGGCAAGAAGGTAGTCAACAAGTTTTCTTGACGTATAATATCTGTCAGCAAAAATTTTGTGTCCAGTACCCACATGCTGCAGTAAAGTATGAAAAACTTGCACAGCCTGTCCTCCATCTTTATCTGTTTCTGGGTTATAGGAGGTATTGGCTCCAAAATAGGTCAAAATATCAACAACATAACCCGTTGAGGAATCACACAGGCCAAATGTCTTGATATGATATTTGCTAGGCTTAGTGGCATTATATTGTTTGAATTGCCATCTGCCCTTGAAGCCTATTACCATTTCATCTATGCTAAGTTCCTGAAAAGGGTAGAATGCATTTCTAAACTTATTCAAGAGTATGTTCATAAATGGTTCAATTTTATCTTTCCCTTCGGAATTTTCATCGCCACAGTGTAGCATGGAGTGATAGATGTCCTGAAATCTCTGTCTGTTAAATACATGGTGTATCCATGGAGTATAGGATTCAGCAGACATAGACCAATAATCAGAAATAGCTGGCCTTTTATACATCCCCATGTAGATTAGAACAGCAATAAATTTGTCTAGCTCCTGCCTTGATATGTCCACCCATCGACTAAAGACAGAGCGTCTAAGTGCAGGTGTGTTCATGTGAACTTTCTTTTTAGCATAGGCATTTATAGATTCAACAATGTAATCTTTAACATTATCATCAAATAGTTCATTGAAAAAGTTAATAGGTGTAGGGTTTAAAATGTTTTGAAGTTTAGGGCAAACTCCAGGATTTCTAAGGGGATGAAATCGGAAATTGTTTTCAGTTTGTCCTGTTTGGACTTCGGACCACTCTGTCTCAGTAGGGAAATAATTTGAACTAGTAGATTGACTAGTTTTAGATGAAGATGAATTATGCTTTGAAGTTGAAGCCACAGAATTAGTAGAACTTGAACTAGGCCTAGTTGGTGTTGATTTTTTTTTTCCTTTTCCTTTTCCAATGGATACTTTTTGTCTCTTTGTAGTCGGAATATATTCCTCATCACTAGTTTCCTCAAATAATACATTTTCGTAATCACTATCACTATCACTGTTGTCAGATTTATCTTCATTTGAACTTGAATCGTCTAAGCAAATCAATTTACTTGCCTCATCGGCAGTCATAGATCGAAATCCTTGTCGATTAGAACTAGCACTGTTAATAGTTGAATGGAAAAGTTGGAATACTAATAAAATGAAACAAACCAGTGGTGACGCAGAGAGTGGCTAAACGTACTCTGCCGAAATCGCGGTGACGCACACTGCGGCGAAACGTATTAAATGGGTTAAAATATTATGGAATGGTACCCCCTTTCATTTATCCACGAATCATGCCTCATCATCATGGCATGATGTTAAACTAACTTCGAGAAGTAAATTCAGTAGAAATTCTGTCAGAAGTAGAAGCCCATCCGATCCCTCAATCAGCCTAACTTAACTAACACTAAGTTCACAAACTACTGGTACAATACTACCTTAACTCCAACTAATTTAATAATATTTTACGCCTATATTTATTTTTACAAAAAGGGCTAGTTTAGACTTTAGACCAGTACTTGAGTTCTGAGTAGTTTTCCTTGCTGGAAATGCAGAGTGAAGTAAGGTGTGTTAGAGTTGAGTAGTGTAGTGTAGGCGTCGATTACATTATTATTATTTTATTGTTAATTAAGGCATAATGACAAAATGTTATTCTTATTAGGCCTATGCCTATACTATATAGTATAAAATATAGGCCTAATTGCAATTGAATAATTTTTTAAATAGTCTACTAAAATTAATTCCTAGTACTAGTAGTACTAGTATTATTAATTATGGTATTATATTTGGTAAATGACATTGGGCATAGCATTAAATGACTTCTCTTTTTATTTAAAAATTTAGGCTAATCAGGATTATTCAGTTTAGATTTAGTCTGAATTAAATTTAGGCCTAGAAATAATTATTATCAACTATAACTATAAGTCAACATTCTTGTGTACTATTTATTATACAAATTGAAATATGCCTACCCTACAAATTCTACATAATCATAAAATCACTATCCATTCATCCATTCCTTCATTATGAGCAGACTTTTAATCCCCTTCCCCCATCATAACAAAAATTTAAAAAACTCTCGTCACACATTCACATTGTAAAAAAATTTGTGATCTCCATTTCCTACTCCAGTATGTTGGTGGATAATGATGAGTGATGACAATTTATAGAATAGAATCGCTAAAAAATTAAACAGCTAGGCAGTGGGTGATTTCTCACAAATTAATTTAATTCAAATTGTAAGCCAGGCCTACTCAAAAGTTAAGTTACCATAATAATAATAATTGTACTAACCGTATTAGTAATTAGCTCAAATCTAAGACAGAGTTCCCCATGGTGGGAGGGGGGTGATATTAGGACGTAAATGTACCACCCCGACCCCTGTAGGAAAGTCAACCGTTGGCACTGCGAGAGCAGTGTCCAGCCGACTGGATGTCCTTGGGCTAGAATAGCCCCAAATGGTAAACCAGATTAAGCGGATGGAGGTGGGGACTGTCCTGACAAAGGGAATTTGACTGTGGTATTAAAGTTGGCACATTGTAAATTAACAATTTATCTTACAATTTAAAATTTGAAACATCCTTACTGTCTCCCTTTATTCAAATTAAGTCTGTAAATACTGTAATAACCATGCTGAGCTAAACCATATTTTCATTTGATAAAGTGAAAAAAAAATGTTTTGCAATAACAATTCTGACTTCTTTTTTTTAGCTCTGAACAGCATGAATCCATTAGTCATGGAGAAAGAAACAATTAATATCAATGGAAGTGCTATATCTAGTAGTCCAACAATGGAAGAAAAGGCAAAAAAAAATGGTAATTACTAATTGTTAGTTAAGGAGAAAAATTTATATTTAAAAATCATTTTTAACCTTTTTGTGCTAAATTAAGAATAAACTATTGATGTTTTGACGAATATGTAAGTTCATGGTGAATTCTTTTCTTAAAATACATATAAAATCTAGAGGTTATCATGAGTTAAAGTAACCTTTTAAAAAATCAGCTCCACTGCCACTATTGATGAGTTTCCTATGGCCGGATCTAGAAATACCAAGGCTGCTACCATCTTGTTGAAAATGGGTCCATGTTCTTCCGGTTTGGGATATGATGATAAGGGGTTTTCCAATACCTTGTTTTTGATATCAGCCTAAATTTTTTTAGTTTAGCCAGCACCAATTTTTTTATTAGTTAAAAAGCTCCGGGCTATGTTTTTTGTGAGGAGAAGATATGAAATTTACATTCCTAATTCTTTCTAGGATTCCAACTTGAGAGCCAAATTTAAAGAATTTAATAAGTTTAAAAATTAAAAAATATTAACCCTCTTGAGATGGAAACTTTTTGGACTGTCTGCCCTTGTCACAGGCCCTGCAATTAACTTATTTTACAAAAAATTTATAAAAAATAAACTAATTTCTTTACAAATATAAAAACTATATGTATTCTTGTAGGGAATTAAATGAGTTAATATGATCTTTATGAATCAAACTGAAATCTCAACATTTATGCAAATGAGATATCCTGATTTGCAGAATTTAATTAAAGGTAATGATTTTTTTGAAGCTTTATTAAGCACAACCCATATTTAAGTGAGATTCATTGTGAATACCTGCATGAAATATTCCCTTGGGCTGCAAATGCCTTTTGGCATATTTCAAGGTCATATTTTTAAAGCACTTTTAGGGGCACTAGGTAAAATTTAAAAAAAACATAAAATGACAGATCATAGTAAACTATTAATGCAAGCCATCATTAAAATGGTGAGGTGAGCAAGAAATGCCAGAAGCAGTCATATTAGCTGGTACAAAGATAAGCCAGCCAATCTTGAGGCTTTTCTTATTAGGGCGGATGGATCAGCGGTTTGCCTTTTTTTTGCCATAACACTCTGGGCCGATAGACCGGCCTAGCCATCTTAAGAGGGTTAATATGACTGTTATGTATGGCACATTTTCCCCATGCGTGAACTATGTTGAACCCTAGCACACGCTACGTTCATAGATGGGCGTGGCCTATTTGTTTGATGTATCTTGTTTACTACAGACTTCCAATGAAACATGGTTAGTAGGTCTACTAGTATCTTGTCGAAGGTTCTCGATTGTATTAGAAAAGTAAGGGCATTTCTAGACGCATAGGTAGACCCACATATATAAATGATTGACAGACACAGAGAAGACGGAGATTGATAGATATTTTTAACTTCACGAGTCGTGTATTATTCTTTGTGTACTTATATGTGTTTATTCGCGTTGATCATTCATCATTATTAATTGGCACATTGTACTAACTGTGTTAACTGTTTACTGGTACAAGATCTACCATACTGTAAGTTGATGATTTGTAATTATATTTCTTTTGTTTTGTAATTGTATTAGTTTTTGCGTGTCATATCTTTATTATTGTATTTCTCTATGGTATCGTTGCACTGTGTGAACGAGCCATAACTTAAAACAAGAGATTAATTTCTCACAAGAGAAGCCAGTGCGTAACATGACATGCATATTATCAGCTGATTTGAATTTTTAATTTTAAAAATACAGAAACAGGGGGTAGCATTTTCTTTAGATAAAAAAGCTGGTTATTTTTCTGCGGCAAATCGCCGAACTTGATATAAGAAAATCATAAAATGGTTAACATTGTGTATCAACAAATATTTCTTATATCTGATTTATGAGCCATTTTTTAATTACTACAGTACACAACCCAATAACTGGCATTAAGCTATCACATATACAGAATAAAGTGTTCTGAATTTCTGATTATACAAATTGGGGAAAAGGTGGATCAGGAAGTAAAATATTTTTTATCAACATGTAGCAGACCTGTTTACTCTTACGATTTTGGCATACAATGTAAGATTTTGAGGTGTAAACATTATATATCATAATGTATGTTTATTTTTTATTTTAACTATGTAAGTTATTGAGCGATTTTGTGATGATATTGTACGATTTTGAGAGTTTGAGGGTAAACAGGTCTGATGTAGATGAAAGAGAAACTGACAAATTAAAATCTAAAAAAATGTGTATCAATTCCAGCACTGACAAGGTCAGTTTTAAAGTTCATATAATCTTTATAAAGAAAAATAATAAAAGGTGGCATAATTTAATTTTTCCTCAATTAACTTTGAATTAATTTCTTCAGCAGATTTGGAATGTGATGTTTGTGGCCAGGAGCATGCTACAGAGGAATGTCCAGAACTGGGACTTTCTACTACAAAATTTATACCACAAATATCTAGGTAAATTTAGCTCAATTCTGTTTTTAACAATTCTAACAAAAATTTATGAGGAAAAAATCAGGAGATAATCAGACATCTTTTTCTAACTGGTACCTATCTTTTCTGACCAATAAATCAGCAGATATAAGCCTAAAAAATTTCTTTCCAGATGTAAGATGTATATCTAGATGTTTTTAAATTGCACTTTGGATGTTGTGGGATTGTGTACCAAATCTGATAAGGGATGCCTCAAAACTTGCTATCATACTTTTCCCCCCACTCCTACTCTTACTGAGATGTGGTCATTGTTTAATGCAATGAACAGCTGACATCATAAAATTCAACTTCTTGTTCTTGTTTTGTGAATAATGCAGAGTTGTTGAAATATAAATATTCTATTTTGTTCTGGTTAGTTATGTGCTAGCCATGATATTATACTTTGTTTGCCATGTTACCATAGGCTCAGATTGTTCCCAATGTTAATTTTATAAATGATTTTTTTATGTATTTAAAAATGCTTGTGTATCAGGCATTGACTTAAAATTGGTTGTGCAGTTCCTTCAAGTGATCCAGATTTAGGGAGTCGCCATGATTTTAGATTAAATTTAAAGAAAAGTGTGTATTGGGGCCACTCACCCGTGATTGTGACTGAGAAGTACCAGAGAAAGTGAATTTTTTAAAAGTTCAAATACATTTTTTAATCCATGAAATGAGTATTAAAAACACATTTAAATGATGTCCTCTTATACACATGTTTATTTCTGGCATCTTCTCTGGCACTTTCACACATCTGCTATTGAATTGACACTTGATATCTGTGGTATAGACTACAATGGCACACTTCTAGCTATGTCAATGTTGGATAAAACAGAACTTTACAATTTCAGTTACAAAATGTTAGGGAATGTGTGCAGCGTTATATTTCTTTTTCACCCAGTTATTGTAACAATATTGATGCACTCTTACACGAATTTATCTTATTTTTCTAGAGCCAGGTTGACAGTGCCTCATTATTTAAATGCAGTGGAGTTTCCAGACGGTGGGGTTGGCATTTTAGCACTGGAGACAATTGGTAATAAAACACAACTTGGTCCATTTGAGGCCAAGAAAACTATGAACAATATCGACAGAGAAGATCTTTTTGTTCTTAAGGTATGATATAAATACAATGGCTATCAAGCATATGCTTATTTACATGACAAAAAAAAAGGTTTAGCATGAAACGTTTTTGCATCTTATTATGGCTCAGCTTGTTATGGATGTTATATTATCTAATAATAAACAAGTGATGCAAGGATCCTGAACTCCACCTTTACCATGATATACCTTTTGCATTCTAAAAGTGAATTATAAATGTAAAGGGATGAATTTTTTGTTCAGAAAAAAATCTTTATTTTTAACTCCTTCAATTCTACTAAAGAAATAGGGTGTAAGCAAAGCCTTTTGCCACTTAAAATTAAAATGGCTTTGCTGAAAACATCTGCAATCATAAGGACTAGAGACAATCTTACTGAATTTTTTGCCGTAAATCATAATATGTTAAGTTGTTAAATGTTCAAACTAAATTCGTTTGATGACCATTGCATCTAAAACAATTGTGTGTACCAACTCTAGTACTAAATTAATGTAAACAGATTTTTATGTCCTCTTGATTTTATGTCAATTTATATCAGTTTATAATTTATTCTCTTCAAAGTAAGAACAAAAGGCATTGTTAGCTTAGGCAAAAAGGGTGAAGATTAACATGTCCTTTGCTTTTTATAAATTTGCTACAAATGACGTCAACTGACAGGGTAAACAAGTTGAATGTTATTTTAAAAAATTTTGTTGGTCTAATGGCATCTAATTTCTTTAAATTTTTCTTTAAAAAATTGTTATTATTTGTTTTTTAACATCAGATCTTGTCTAAAGATGGCAGTTCCATAAGCCTTGATGCTAGCAGTGAAGCAGATTGTAACTGGATGGCATTGGTACAGGTGGCAAAAAATGAAGAAGAGCAGAACTGTATGGCCTACCAGCTTGGAATCAATATTTTCTTCAACACCACAAGAGATATTTTCATTGGCGATGAGCTCAAAGTGTGGTATGCTCCCCAGTATGCTAAAAAGCTGAATAAATCACTTGTTCCGGATGGCAAAACAAAATGTAAGCATACATTTCTATTACTGTGCTTGTTAGTTGCTTTCCAAATTTTTGTGTTTCTGAAAAGTAATTACTCATTTCATTTTTTAAAAATTCCAGCAATGCTTGGAGAGATACTGTTTACTGATGCAGAAGATGAGCAAGAGGCCCATGAAGGAACAGATGATGAAGAGTCTAAAGATGCTGATGCCAGCAGAGACTCTGCAGAAATCCACCCAGATGATGTTGAAGGGGATTATACATGCAAACATTGTGAAGAGAAATTCACATCACAGTTTTTATTTGCCAAACACATCCGTGACCATCTTTTTCCTGTGTACAATTACAGTGAGGGTCCACCCAGGCGTGGTAGACGACCTGTGCCTCTAAAAGTTGGCGAGTATAAAAATTACTCACTACTCAGAGGAAGGGGAAGAGGTAGGGGGAGAGGAAGAGGCAGACCCAGAGGTAGTGGTGCTCGAATACTAAGAACTGGAACAGGAAGGAGGCCGGGGAGACCCAGGCGCTCTCCAATAGTTTCTGCCGAAAGTGAAACAGAAGATTCCAATAGTAAAAGACAAAAACTGAGTGGAGAAGAAGATGAGGGTCATGAGAGTGAGACACTAGACGATAACCAGAATAGTTTTGTGAATAATTCAGAAGGAAGTAATACTGATGTTACTCAAAATAGCTTTGGGGACTCTGCTCCATCAATAAAAGTGGAAGAAATAGCTGTTGTTGAGAAGAAAAAACGAGGGAGGCCACGGAAGATACCAGTTGAGAGCTCAAGTGAAACTGTTATCTCAACTCCTCAGAAATCTCCAGACATTTCTTTAGATATAGAAACACCGCACACTGATGGAAATCGTCCAAGGCGGAGTACCAGGTCTCTTAGAGGTTTGGGTAAACTTGGCAAATGGCTTAAGTATCCTGGTGAAGCCTCTTCAGATGAAGATAATCAAGAAGGTTCAGATGATGAGGATAAGGTCAAGGTGCCTCGTAAACGTTTCGGCATGGCCATGGCAGCTACTTTGAGGAAAGCTGCAATGGATGAAATGACATCTCCTGTTCCTAAGAGAAAAAGTTACATCCAAGTTGTCGATTCCAAAAGTCAGTCCCCCAAGATAATAAGTAATGCGTCAGGCATAAAAAGGTCATTAAATGTTGAGGATATCAAGACCAAGCTCTCCTTTGAAAAGCCAATTGTCTTAACAGAAAAAAATGGAGACGAAGAAGCAAGTTCCAGTGATGTCAAGGTAGAAAAACCTCCACCAGTTGTAGAGTCCCCAAAGAAATATATTGTCATTACCAAAGGGGATCAAACTACCACCTATGAAATCTCAACCACCTTAGACAGGAAAGAGCCTGTAGAGCCATCTAATATTTCAGAATCTACGAGTGGCACAACAATGGTTGAAGAGACCAGAGCCCAAGTTATTGAACTAAAATCTGACAACATTCTTATAGAAGAATCAACTGATATAAAAGAAGCCGGAGAGATTCTCAACAGAACTGTCCTAAATAAAGACTCTGATATAGAAGTGGGAACAAGAGAGGAGGTTGTTGGTGTGCCTCATCATGAGAGAAAGAACACAATAGCTGATCTGGACGGTACAGATGCGCTGACGGCGCTTGTGAATGCAGCCATATCTGCTGACAAAGTACCAGATCCTATTGCCATGGTTGCTGCGGATTTGTATGAAGACAGGAGTATGGAAGATGATGGGGACTCGGATGAATACAGAGTCAACCTAAAGAGAAGTAGCACAAAATCCGCTTGGATTACACACAATGCTGATACGGGAGAGGAAGGGGAAGACAGCGACAATGACAGGCATCATCAGCCTTTGAGACAGAGGCGCAAGAAACGTCGGCGTGGAGATGACCCCGAATTAGAGGAGTTGGAAGGAAAAACTAAAATTGTTGAAGGCCCAAATGGCTCTGAAGAATTTGCATGTGGCATATGTAACAAACATTTTACACAGTTGAAATATCTTAAGCTTCATCTGCCGGCGCACACCGATAGGTACAGGTGTAACATTTGTGGCAAGAGATTTGCCAGGAATGAGTCACTGATCAAGCACACCTGCGACGATACTGCAAATCTTGTTGAGCAGACTGTTGATGAAGAAGGAAATGATACGTTCTGTTGCAGGGAATGCGGTCGTTCATTCAACCAGATAAACTTTGCCATTCGACATGCATCCATGCATCGCGCTCGCTTCACTTGTGACAAATGTGGAAGAACTTTTTTGCGCCAGGTTTGTCAATATAAAGATATTTTTATAATAAGTACCTGGTATGTTACTTTTAGTTTTGAAAATCTCTGTGGTGCTAGATATTGACCCTATAAAAAGAAAGAAAAAGACACTTTACTAGCAGTCTTTAACTTTAATAATTCTACATGTAAAATCTACAAAGTGTTGGGATTAAAAAGCTAATTTATGTTTCTTTCATTCAAACTATGTTATGAATTTATTTGCTGGGTACCTAAATCAATTTATATGCATATTTTATTAAAAAGATATAATCCTTTTAAGAATTTATTATTTAATCACAAGCATGTGTTAACAGAACTATGCACATTGAATTGCTTTAATTTGTATAGGGTTTTTGGTTGAAAAAAATGATAACACATTCACAAATTATAATTGATGAGCTGGAAAATTTTTAAAAAATTGTATATCTTTCTTTTAAAATGATATAACTTAAATTTAAAACTGGAGAGTTATGGCTCACTCTCACCTTGATTACAAGCATATATTTTTTTGCAATTATTTTCATTGCTGTACTTTTGAATGACACCAGGATCTGTTGGATGAGCATGACTGCACCAGTGGACTACTAGAAGAAGGGGAAGTCTTCCATGATGCCAATCACGAGTGTCAAATTTGTCGCCAGTCGTTTACTAGTGGGAAGTATCTGTTTAGGCATATGGCAATGCATACAGACATCTACAAATGTGAGGTAAGGCAATATTATATGATGTGCAAAAATCAAAACTATAGTTATTTTTGTTGTGTGTGTGTGTGTTTTTTTTTTTTTTTTTTTTTTTTTTTTTTTTTTTTTTTTTTTTAAAAATATTTTTTTTTTTTTTTTTTTGTTTTTTTTTTTTTTTTTTTTTTTTTTTTTTTTTTTTTTTTTTTTTTTTTTTTTTTTTTTTTTTTTTTTTTTTTTTTTTTTTTGGTTTTTTAAAGAAGATATTCTGCTATTTTTAATTTATATGATGGCATGGGTGTTTTATGTAGTACAGTTGTGATTTTTATTGCAGTTTGACTTCTTTGTTTTTTAAATATGAATATACCTATAAACAAAAATGGCGAATGATATCCAATTAATCAATTATTTAATTCCTTTGTTATGAGGAGTCATTGGTTAATTAAATGGTAAGAGCAATTTACAACTTAAAGGTCTAAATCTTTTTATTTGCTTCTGTTTCAATAGTTTGAACTCAATCCATCTTGTAGCATAAAAATATTGTTTAAAATTCACCAAAAAATGTGTAAAAAATTTCATGTTTTAGAGTCGCTCTTACAAGGATTTTATTTAATTTTAGGTTTGTGGCAAATGCTACTCTCGTAAGGATTCTCTTCAAAGGCACATTTCTCGTTGTTGTCCAGAACTCTCCGGAGAGTACAGTGTGCATGTGTGTCCCAATTGCAAAAAGACTTTTGGCACACAACTGGGGTTACAGAACCACACACTTAACTGTGGCAAGTATCAATGTGGGGCTTGTAAAGTGGCATATTTTTCCCTGAAAGACCTTGCAGAACATGAGTGTGCAGGAAAGGTCCTCAATGAAAAAGCAAATGTTCAGTTCCCATGTAAGGAATGCAATAAAACATTTGCCAGCATTGCATACTTAGTACGTCATGAAGCCTCTCATCATGGAGCTTTCAAATGTGATCTTTGTGAGCGTGTTTTCATTCGCAAAGAAGAGCTGAACTGGCATGCACCTGTGTGTGCGACGAAACAGAAGATTCAGCAGGACGGAAGTGCTCCTTGTGAATCTTGTGGTGAAGTCTTCAATGAGTGGCTAGCTTTCAAGGAGCATCATATGACCCACACACATCCACATAAATGCGACAAATGTGGGAAAAGGTTTATAAAGGTAACTGTTAAAAAAACAGATTGCATTAGTAAACTGTGTTGAATGACCTTTTAGTGATATAGTTACATTGTTTTTATGTTCTCCAGATAATGCAATTTATAAAACTTATCGCTTTTATTTGTGATCAAACTAAGTACATCCATGTTACTTTTTATGGTTTCATTTATATCAAAGTTGAATTTCTGGTGAAAATTTTAGCTTTTAAGCAGAAAAGGATGTTAGCTTTTTAAGCGATTAAGTAGCAACTTGTAACATAATTAATCATTAGCAGCTACTGATTTAGATAAAAGTTGTGTGTATTTTTCAAGCTGAAATTAATAATGACTGAATTCTATACTTTTCTATTTTAGATTGGCACCCTCCATAATCACAAATGTGAAGCTTTGGGTGAAGTGGGCACAGATCAGTCAACCTTCTTAGCCTGTGACATTTGCCAAAAGCCATTTAAAAATGAACGCTACTTGTCACGCCACCTCTCACTCCATGGCCAGCCAGAATTTGCTTGTGAATTTTGTGGGAAGCTTTTTACCCGCAAAGATTACCTTAATGATCACCAATGCCGCTTGCCCAATGGTACAACAGTTAGAATGGTGCGAAAGAAAAATCGTCTTTTTATCAAAGATAATCTTTCTTGCCCCGACTGTGGAAAAACATTTAGGTAAAACATACATTTATTTCAATTTCTTTGCATTCGGAATTTTCTCTCTCTTAAACTTTATTTAAATGTGATCTTTTCCCTCCATACCTAATAAAACTAGAAGTCTCTAAATTTTAATTACTATAAATTAAAGCTTTTTTTCAGTTGTGGATGTATATCTAAAAAAAAAAATTGTTTCCTGTTTGTTTCTTCACAGTTCAAGAAGTAACATGATGAAACATTTGAAAGTTCATGGGGAGAAACAGGCTGAGTGCCACATATGTAGGAAACGGTTCCATTATGAAAACTATCTGAAGCTTCATGTGGCAACAGTGCACGAGAAACAGTATCAGCTGCAATGCACTCATTGTGGCAAAGTTCTTTTTTCTAAGGTAAGCAAATAAATGTGTAAAGGAATGCTCTTATTTAAACTAATCAATTCTGCCACCTATTCAATGGTGAAATAAATTGTGGAGATTTGCATACATTCTCTTTAATTTTTTGTATCAATGGCAATTAATTTTTTTTTTGGTATATCATTTTTTTGAATGGTCCAAAGAAGTATAAATTTAACCTTGTATAACGGTTTTGTCTTTACCACCTGGAAACTACTTAGAATAATCTAAAATACTTTAGTTTTATTTGTCAAATAGATATGTAATCTTTTTACAGACTGGTCTCATAGCTCACATTAAACAGTTTCATGCGGACACAATCAAACTATACCCTTGTCCAAAATGTGGCAAGACATTTCGGCAGAAAGGAAACATGAAGACTCATCTCATCTCCCACACGAAAGAGAGAGCTTACAAATGTGACGTTTGTGGAAAGGTAATTTTATTTTTTGGCAATAAGCATATTTATTTAACAAATGTGCATAGAAAGTACTTTAATATAGAAAAAGAAAAATAAAATTTTAGGAGATCACTAATAAACCTTTCTTATCTTATATGTCTGTTTCATTCTCATATACTATGACAGGGTTCTGATTACTTACGATTAAGCTAACTACAATTTTTTTTGATTTCAGGCATTTAAATATCCTGATCAGCTCAACAGGCATAGATTGGAACACACACTTCAACAAAAGTATTCTTGCGATCTGTGTGATAAGCAGTTTGTTCGCACATATGAGCTGCGTAACCACATGCGCAACTATCACAGTGGATATGTATATGTATGTGGTGTATGTCACGAATGTTGCGCCCACAGACACACTATAATTAGGCATTATAAACGCAAGGTAAGCAAATTTATTTCATCATTAAGGTACGTTCACACTGCAGATTTTTTGTAGCTCTGTGGTGAATCCATGTAATGTTATGTTGGGAATCTACTGATATTTATTGATGTTTACAATCTCCAGCTGAAAGAGATATCCCATGTAGGTGTTTGCACTAAGCAGGCACAACTATGCAGAACTTTAGTTGATATTTACTTTTTTTTTAAAATGTAATAAATTCCACTTTTTAAAACAAGATAAACAGGTTTTGCAATAAAAGCAGACCTGAAATTTATTTCACAAAATTTCAATAATTGAACTACAAAATATGGTTCTCATAGAATACAACTAATAATTAATATTTATCAACAAGTAAGCTGATAATAAATTCAATAATTTTTTTTTACCACTCCATTTTCTAACGGTCAGTTGCTATGTTACTAACCTGATAGCGCATGCACATAGATAAAAATATGAGGGATTGTTTTTGTATATTGCCAGCAGACAATATACTGCAACATACACCAATCCGGTGATAATGACCACTGTTTGCCCCAATGTTACGAGCAGCCAGGGCTCTCAGAAATCTTGTAAATAGTAATGTAACAGCTTCCTTGCGTAGAGTCTCAGAAACAAACCGGTGGTTTGAACATACTTTGAAAGCTGCAAATTTGTGTAGTTTTTAGGTTTTCAGCAATAGATCAAAATTTCGGCTTTATGGACAATATGGAATTATATTGAATAGACCAAGTTCGACAATGATGTCAAATTCCATCAGTGTGAAAAGATTAACTTAAGTGTACTTTTAACTGAAAATGAATCAGTGATTTAGAAAAGTGTACTCTCCGTTGTTTGAAATGCATTCTTTCCCCTTATCTTAAATGACAGCACAGTGTTAGATTATTTCATATATTTATTTTTAATTTAATTTTACATTTTTTTAAAAATTTGCTCATCGTGAAAGAATTTTCATCTCATGTAGACAAGTATGCTTTGTGCCTTTTAGGAACCAAATTTGTATGGCTTAACTTGATTTTGACTTAGCTGACATCTGATAATAAAGAAAGAAAAAAAAAAACTGAAATAATTAAACAAAAATCTTTACACTTCTTTACTTAGTCAAATGATAGGTGTTATTGAAAAAGGATAGGCTTTCATGTGGCTATAAAAATGTTGCATTTTTTTATGTGCAGATTATTTATCCAATTATTGTTAATTATGAAGTTTATCATTCATTTAAGAAATTTTTAATTTCAATAGACAATGTAGAAAATATAAAGAAAGTATGTTTTATTAAAAAAAATTAATATCCCGTTTTATTTCAGCACCCAGAAGTCGGGAACGTCTTTGAGGAAAAGCCAGAGTTTCTAGATTCACTTCAGAAGCCAGTTACGGCTGCAACACAGTCTCGTATGATGATAGAAAGTGATGACATTAAACCCAGCATCGTCCGCGTCGGCCTACCCAGATCCCATGAGATTATTGTTACAACTGATGAAGATGGAAATCAAACTTACACTGGTGGAGAAGTCATGCTTCAACAAGTAAGCTTCTGATTTTTTTCCATTATGTCTGCATTCAGCAATGCTAAAAAAAAAATCAGTTATATGAACAGTCAGTTGCTGTATATATAATTTGAAGGTTGACAAATGCACAAAATCCATTGAAATTTTCAATTAAGATTTTTAAAATAATTTTTTGATGATTTCTATTTGCTCATTATGGGTAGATGTAGATTATGACATAATTTATATTTTTGATCTTGATTGTTTGAAAATTCTAAAATCATTTTCAAAGTTTGGATTTATTAGCTATACACAAACTAGGTTATTTCCAAATTTGATTAAATAACCAGCTGTTATGACATTTTCTGCAATCAACAATTTCACACACACAAAAGAAAAGACACAATCTTCACTTTCAAAAATTTGGGTGAAAAGTCAAAGAAAGTGCCTTTAAATATAAAAAAATTCCAAAATGATGGAACAGATCATTTATGTCATAACGGTTAGTAAAAGTTGAATGTCTCTATGATTACAGGGTGTCTCAGGAGAATTGGGTAATGGAGAACAAGCCATGCGCATAGATAGGCCAGGTGGAGAATCTACTCTTTTCATCTTGAAGGTAGGAACAAATTGTATCAGAATATTGAAATTATTGTCAGTTTTTTTAAAGGATATGTGAGGAAATGCTCATGCTTGGACAGTCTTTGTTCTAGTTTTACTCTTGTGTTATAATCATTTGGTTGAGCACATTTTAAGCTGCTTGTGATCAACAGGTGGTCAACCAAGATGAAAACGGATCAATCCAAGAAATGGAACTTACTGAAGACACAAAGGCCCATCTGGCCCAGCTGCTACAGGCTCATGGTGCTGGCCAGGACACGATTACCCACATCCAGGTATGGATTTCAGCCGACCAGGTTAAGAACTACCATAGGCTTTAAAGCTGGAACTTATTAAAAAAAATCCTGTTTAATGACGAAGAGAGTTGCCAGTGAAATGTTGGCAATGTACTGAAATGGGGCAAGAGGTGGGGATGGTGTTAAAAATGGGAATGAAAATCTTTTAAGCATTTCATCAAATTTCAAGAGAGTGAAAAAGCAAGTGATTTGCAAGAGTGTGCTGGAGGTTGGGGTTAATTTTTTTCGTGTTTTTTTTTTTAAAACTCAAGAATAAAGGAAGAAATCATTTTCACAAAAATATAGTTCACATGGAAGTTTTAAATAAATTGTTTTAGAAAATTATTCAATGCCTCATTCCGAATTTTCATTTGGTGAGAACGACTTGTTGTAGTTACAAAAATTAAATTAAAGGAAGCATAAATAATGCTTTTATCATTTGCCACAATATGACATATAGATTTGTAAATAGATCACCGTTACCAAGTATTCAAAATGTTACCCTTATGATGCCCTTAGATTAATGCAGCTCAATTTTTATAAGAAAATAACAACAGCAAAGAAAATATATATTTATTAAAATAATTTTTCATGTATCAAACAAATATTGACAATTCTCTATAAAATATTCACTCATGGCTGTTGAACAATTTTGTTTGGAGCTCTGCACAGCCTCCAAACAGCTCCAGTTTCACACCCCCCCCCCCCCCCCCCCCCCCCCATAGCCCTGCAAAATGTAAAATACTGTGTTTTAGTCCAGCCTTTCTAAACGTTTTTTTTTGTATCCTGGCAGACTTATACGTTCTATTCTCCTGGCATACTTTAACTTTAACGTTTTATTCAGCTTCCTGCAGCCCCCACCCATCCCCAACCTTCATTAATATAAATAAAACGGCTCTTGTTCTATACATTACAATGTTTTTTTTCAATGGTACTTACAGGTTGGAGATCAGACCCTACAAATTCAAAGAGAGGATGAAGATGGCAATGCTATCCTTGATGACGATTCTGCACAGATGGGCATGGAACAGGACATCAAATTTGACCCCCAGCACCTTGCTGAATTATCAGTTCAAGGAGACTCGGTGGTGACCAAACTTAGCTCTGGGGCAATAGAAGCAGAGTTAGGTCAGAATCTGGGTGACGGATCGACTGATGAAGTATCCATGCAATCGGGCCAAGTTGTTGGGATGGAAGGAGTGCAGGTTGTGGAAATGGAAGGGGGGAGGTTGGGTCAGATTATCCACATGGGTGAAGATATGGGGTCAGGAGTTGGAATCCAGATGGAGAGCGGTCAAGTTATCCACCTGGACCGGAGCCAAATTCTGGAGATGGAGGGTGGTGGTAGGGTAGTCGTGTCCTCTGGAGATTTTGTGTCTCATCACATGGAAGGGTTGTCGGAGCTGAAGGTGACCAAGAGAAGGTGCAGCAACGGAGAGATTGTTGTGGAGGTGGAGGGCCAGGATGGCCAGATGGTGGACATGGGCCAGGGCCTGGATCACGGTCACCATGTGGTGGAGGATTGTCTGGAGGTGGATGAGGAGCAGGATGTGATGGAGGTCGAGGAGGGAGTGGTTATTAAAGAGCAAGGTGAACTTGGGATGGATCAAGGTGAAGTTCATCCTGAGGAAGAGGAAATCCAAAGCTAGTGACAGGCAGGTTTTTTTTAGCCCGTTCAAATTTAATGCAACCCATTTGTGTAAAAGAAAACTACTGGTGGTAGTTGAATGAGCTCATTTATAATAACTATATTCTTATAGTTGTAAACTAGTGTTGGATAAATCTTCTGTTCCCAAAATATGTTATACCCACTTCAGTTTTTTCTAGGGTTCTAAGATCATCACTAAAACTTTTGTATAGCACCGTCATATTTATTTTGACTGCTAACGTGTTTCTCAAATGGTACACCCTTGAGGGTGAGTTGCAATGATGTCTTACATTTCTAGTAAATGTTTTAAAATTATTATATAACGTTAAGTTTATCATGTTGAAAAATCACAACAGTCTTCAAATAGACAAGCATCAAAACAATTTTAGAACACCCCCATAATATGCTGTGATCAGAATTTCATAAAGTAGTCCTGGCACAGTGCACTTGCCATTATCTGATCTAGATTTGGTCACATTTTTTGTTCCCCTTCATTTTTAAAAAAAACAAAATCCTTCGCCAAGTTGGCTACACTCTTTGCCCTTTGGTGGTTGAGTTTTTGTGTGTGAAGATATGATTAGGTTGGCCTGAGAGAGTCCGGTTCAAGCCGATGTCATCCCAAAATCTGCAGCTATATTACAAGTTACTCTGTCTTGGTCATCTAATACAAAAATGTTCAGTATCATATCATTAATAGACATTTGATCATTTACAAAAATATCTGCACAAATGAAAAGTAACTGAGCCCCCGACGCTATGGCTCACGGAAAAAAAAAAAAAAGAATTGATTAAATAGTTCTTACATTGTTTCCTCCCTTAATTTATCTCTGAAAAAATCTCCCCCACCTCCTCTCTCTCTCCTCCTCTCTCTCTAAAAAAAAAAAAAAAGAATTTATTAAATAGTTCTTACATTGTTTCCCCCCTTAATTTATCTCTGAAAAAATCTCCCCCCCCTCCTCTCTCTCTCCTCCTCTCTCTCTCCCCCCCCCCCTTTTTGTGTCCCAATAAAAGTTTTAAATGAAATGTATCTATTTTATTCATGTCATTGCTCTGTCTTAGTTATTTTAATGCAGTCACGTAAAAGCACAGCATCTATTTTAATAGACCATGTACATAAATTATTGCATTTAATGTATTTTATTTCTTTTTGTCCCTTTTTTTGAAAGGTTTAAACTTATACAATCTTATTTATAATCCTGCTGTCTAAAAAAAACAACAAGGACCAAGAAAGCCTTGACCTATTTACCTAGTGTTCCTTTCCCCCTGTCTCACTAGTATTATTATTATTATTATTATTTACTTGAAATTTGAAACTATTCTGTCAGAGGCGGCCAAACAGGGGGGTTTACAAGCAGAGCTCCATGAAGGCAACTTTAAAGTCATGTACTCATGGCCTATGCTACAAACATTTCTACGGCTGCATGGAACATTTATTCCATTTTTACTGCTCACACACCCAGCCGCCCACTAAGCTGAATACTTAGAGCTATAAATCAATGGATTTGTATATTGTATTTGTATGTTTCTTTGTTCTAAATTTCTGTTTTGTCAAGAAATTGAGTTAAGATTTCATGAATGTACATAAGTAACTCAATGTGTATAAAACCTTCCACTGTCATTATAACTAATAGTGTTGAATTTTCACTTGGTAAAAAAAGGGGGGGGGGGCAGTGTGATTATATTTTGTTAGATTAGTTTTGTACATTCTTATTTCTAGGAAATATTTAGACAGCTGATGTTGGCACTCTAGATCCATACAGCTTGAATGTGAATGTTACTGAAATATCATGAAAATGCCCCAGAATGTCATTTAACTTATAGGGTTGAGGACCTTTCTAAATATTTATTGTAATTCAATGTCACCAATCATTCTTTATGCAATAGTAATGAATTATAAATATCTGTGTATGTATCGACACAACTCCAGTGGCCAGAATAAGGGATGTTCCTTCCCATCTGTTGGTGCTCATTAAATCAAGAATTCCCTTTTGTGCGACTTCATTCAGAACCAACCTGGCAGTTGTAAACTAACATTCTTGCAATCTTTTTGTTATAATAGAAGAAATGTAATAAAAAGCATAAATAAATTGTCTTACTTTTAGATTATTTGAATGATTGATTTGGGGTTAAAGTTCTTTGCTTTGAATGTTAAAAAGAAGGTCTAGATCAGCGGTCGGCAAATTGAGGCTTGCGAGCCTCATGCTGCTCTTTAGCGGCTCGGCGCGGCCGGCCACAAATCGGTTTCGACTCCAAAAAACATGGTTTTTGAAAAGAATTTTTGTTAATCGTCATGCTGCTGATTTTTTGCACTTTTTACTAATGAGTTTGCTGACCACGGGTCTAGATTAAAAAAATGTACAGTACATGAGCCAAGACCTCATGGATTGGAAGGCTGTGTGGGAGATATATCCATAATTTTAACTACCACAGTTTATATTATCCAATTAAAAGGTCCGATATATGAGACATCAACTCTTAGGATAAGAAGTCCCAGACCTAATATCACAACCTTTTTATTCCAAGCTTACATCTCCATGCAAGTTTGGGGATCTCTGCAAAGTTGAGTGCCGGTAAGAAGGTTTGGGAAACACACAAAGTAATGATGCTTTTACTTTCTTTACGAAACAAAACATGCGGTTAAATCTTAAAGCTTTCATCAACAAAGCAAAGATATCGAACTACGGTACTTCAATTTTTTAATTCACCGCAAAAATTATCATTACCGGTACTGCTATTGCTATTCTATGTCTATGCAGTTATATCCGATTTTATTAATACAACTGCTTCTGCAGACACCATGAACTCTATGACAGTTTCAGCATTAGTTCACAGTGAAGTCAGTTGTATCTTGTTTCTACAACAACACGGTACTATACACGCTGTCACTAGGATGTGCTAACAACCACACAGTTAACAGAATGCCAATACTCAACTCATCGAACATACGTGGGCATTGGCAAAAGAGAGAAACAAGGGCACACACAGACACAGATCTATGCTCGATTCTTATATGTGTGGGTTCTTTTTGCGTCGACGTGTTAAAGCAAATGGTTTGAATGTATTCAACGCCCTTCTAGACGATAGCGTTCAAATTTGGCCACCACAGTAGTGGAGGACTTGAAAAGATGTAAATCTGTTTTAATGCAAAAGAACATCATTTGTTTAATTGGAAGTGTGAAGTATTGTAGAGAAAACGTGAAATAATGTGCAATAATTTTTGCGTTGAATTAAACGTTTTTCTTCAAAAGAACATTTCTTTTATTTGAAGTGTGAATAATAATAATTTTTGCGGTGAATTAAAATTGAAGTACCGCTATTTTACTTGCTACTGATATTGATACATATATATATATATATATATACATCTAAGTTTTCGTCATCCATGCTAACATTACCTAACAGCTGTTGAGAGATTGACCAAACCAAATACCCGGATGCTTTATAAATATCTTTCTCCCATTGAGTGAGATTGGCCAAACTGAATGCCGGGGTGTTCTATTAATAGATTTCCGCCTGTAAATGACCAAACCTTATTAGCAAAACGCACGCAATTGTACTTATATACAACAGATTAACTAGCGTTTAAATATTTTGTTCCGTGCACGCCCAGCTGACAGCGTTCACATTTTTTAGATTCCTTATCTCTTGGCCTCAACTGCTGACGTCGTTGAAGAGTCCCTCATCTCCATGGCAACGCTGTAAACAATGCCTCCCTTTTTTTAAAAATAAAAAAAACAAAAAAAACAACCGTTTACCGTTACTGCGTTTTAGGTTAGGAGGAAGAGAAGAGTGTTCCAGCACGTTCACCCAGCGCTCCACGTTTTAGGTTAGGAGGAAGAGAAGAGTGTTCCAGCACGTTCACCCAGCGCTCCACGTTTTAGGTTAGGAGGAAGAGAAGAGTGTTCCAGCACGTTCACCCAGCGCTCCACGTTTTAGGTTAGGAGGAAGAGAAGAGTGTTCCAGCACGTTCACCCAGCGCTCCACGTTTTAGGTTAGGAGGAAAAAAGTGTGTGTGTGTGTGTGGGGGGGGGGGTTCCACAAGTTTACCGCAACGCGTGACACTAACCTCAGGGACACCTCTGCCCACACTGACCACTGCATCACGTGACATGGCGAGGCGAGATGTTAATTCGAAGGACTGCCGGCGCACACATTTCAAACGTGATGCGAAAGGGCGACGATAGATAAAGGGCCAAATCGAGGCTATTATTATTATGTGACTGTGTCCCCTTGACTGAACCCATGTTGCGCATTCGGCCTCGTTATCTAATCTACGTACTGCTAGTTACGTCCTATAGCGGTTTCCCCAAACTGTTGTGATTCGCGACCCACTATGTAACAGCCGTGAAACTCCTCGACCCCCGTCTCCCACTTAACCCAGCTCTTGAATACATCTGCATATTTATTAAAATAGTATTAAAATATCGATTAAATTTATACAAAAAATTGAACTTAACGTGACATGTTATGATTGTACCGGTACTTTCAGTAAGTGAAACTCATCAGTATGAGCAAACATTACACATCCTAATATAGTATAAGTAGAGCGATGAAAACATATATGTCTAAGAAATATTCAAAACATGATCCGCTGCTGCTGCCTTATTTACCGGAACAAATAAATAAAACTTAAGGTTTCGGCGAAGCGCCTTAAGCAACAATACGAAACACAAGGAATTTAGCCAATGAGAGAGAGGGAGAAGTAGAGAACGGGGGAAATCGAGAGACAGAGAGAGGGGGCGATAAAAAGAGAGGGGTATAAAGAGATAGATAGAGACACAGAAAGACAGACAGAGAGAGAGAGAGAGAGAGTGGGGGAATAAAAGAGGCTTATTTTGCAAGTAACTTGTCATACTTGTCATCAAGTGGTCTACAAACATAACCTGGATTTTATCATTTTGATACGCAGAAGCGATAAAAATAAATCTACAACTAACTCAGAGGCAGTACGAAGTAAAATGTAAAGTCAATTACAATCAAAATGAACGCTACGTAACACCTCAGAACTTTTCAGAAATATATATATACCGTACATATTTTAATCTTTTATATTAACTTCGCTTCTGTTCGTGGCTGGCAATACATGGCTAATCGACCCACGTCCCGTCAAAGCATCAAGCAGAAGCTTGGGCTATAGACTCCTTGCCGATGACATTCTTCCAAAATTTAAGCCCCACCCCCCCCCCCCCCCCCCAACCCCACTTCTGTTCGTGGCTGGCAATACATGGCTAATCGACCCACCTCCCGTCAAAGCATCAAGCAGAAGCTTGGGCTATAGACTCCTTGCCGATGACATTCTTCCAAAATTTAAGCCCCCCCCCCCCCCCCAACCCCAAATCCCAAAAAGTCAGTACCACGGACCACAACTATATTGCTGACTGGTGATACCCAGGTCCGTAATGCCACAGCTTTGCATACAGATCCCTGGTGATAACACAGGTTGAAGGGCGCTCGCTATCAGATGAGATCTGTCCAGTCCATATCTGAAGAGACTCTTCCGTAATATTTTTTTTTCCCCAGAAAATAAATGTAACTTAATATTACATGTTATGAGTGTACTTAGTTACGTACTGCTACCTGTATAGATAAATTAATCTCTTATTTAGGTGTTTGGCTCGTCCTACAACAGTAAACATAACAAAAGACGATACCAAAAGATAAATACAATAACAAAGAATGCGACACTCAAACTAGAGCTAATTGACATTAATAAGTCTTATCAAGGTACTAATAAATTACAAAATAAAAAGAAATATAATTAAAAATCTTTAACTTACAGAGTAGGCACTGTTTTACTTGTACCTTTACAGCGTTGAAGAAAAATACAATGAAGGTC